TGAAACTGTTGATGAGTCTTTGAGCTCCGTACAAAGCAAACAGTGCGCTGTGTAACAATCTGTGTGACGGCCCCCGGCTCCATGCTCCACCGAATTCCATAAACAGCAGTCACAGGTTGCCTACTGCAGCAGTCCAAAAATTCAGTTCCCCACGGAAACGCTCAAGAGGTAAAGAATCCTTTTGACACTTCCAGTGGAGGCAAAGGCATTGAGCGGACTCCTAGGGCACGGACCTGCCCTGAGCCCACCCGTCTTTCAGATATCCTATCAGATAAAGGATCAAACCAACTTTGTCCTCTGCTGGGATCCTACTACTCAACTTAGGATCTGTTTCCTATCTAGCAAGGGGAGTAATAACACGGATGTCTGCCTGATTAGGCATTTAAAAAACATTGTGGGCTGGACACCACACCATGAAGCTCAGTCCAAGGTGAAGGGGAACATGTAGTATTTTCTAATAATCTATGCGATGTGTATAATGTAGGCGGGTGTACTGAAGGGACCTGTGTACTGCAGGGTGTTACCCTCTGGACCCTTGTTTGGGCAAAGACCACACCTAAACACCATGTTTCAAGCACAAACCAAATGCAAAGGGCTCTATTATTAAGCAAGGCAGCGACGAGGTGGCTGATTCTGAATCGGGCTGAAACAGCAGCAAATAGCTTTGCATGTGTTAATTTTAGGAGGGAAAAGAGGGAGGCCTGTGTTCGAATGAGCTAGGACATATTGGTAAGTTCTGCTTGGGTATTTTTTAATTTTTTAAAAGATTTTATGGGGGGCTGGAGAGATGGCTCAGCGGTTAAGAGCACTGAATGCTCTTCCAGAGGTCCTGAGTTCAATTCCCAGCAACCACATGGTGGCTCACAACCATCTGTTATGAGATCTGGCGCCCTCTTCTGGTGTGCAGATATACATGGAAGCAGAATGTTGTATACATAATAAATAAATAAAATCTTTAAAAAAAAAGATTTTATGTATACAACATTCTGCCTCCATGTATGCCTGTGCACCAGAAGACGGCACCAGATGGTTGTGAACCATCATGTGGTTGCCGGGAATTGAACCTAATGGTTTAGCAAGGGAGAGAAGGGTAAAGGGCAAAACCTGATGGCGCCATGTTTGCCATGCTTGGGTCTGCTAGAGTCCTTCAAATTCTACCTATGTTTTGGATGGGAGACAGGCAAACTCTGAAAAGTGAGTTTATAGCTCATCAAAGAATGGCTAGCAGATGTCAGTAAGCATGAAAGTGGGTGAGCCTAGAATGTATGGCAAGGAATATAGATTTGTTCCAAATTGGGTTCTATGATGCCTACCTGGCTAAGAATGCCTACTATTACATTTTATTTATTTATTTATTTATTTATTTATTTATTTATTTATT